CGTTGTTTCTTGTAATTTAGTGTTAACTATTTACTACGCCGTATTGGATAGGCTTTCAGAATTTGTTTTTGTTTTGTTTCTTTTGTTGTTGTTTTMTTTTTAGGTTTTGTTTGTTTGTTTTGTTTTTGTTTTGTTGTTTTGTTTTGAAAAGAAAACAAAACCTGAAACTCAGCACAGTCGACCTGGTCAGCCCGCTTCATATAATCAGGCCCTGATAGGCTGACTGCCTCCAGGGAGTAGCCTGCGTACATCCCGGGTTTATTTTCAAAATCTACGGGTAAACGCTGGATGAACTCAGGCTACCAGGGAGTAGTGCATGTTCAATCCGACTTTACGTACAGTATTAGTCTGAGTTACCGCTGACCTGACTGACAGCACTTACGAGGTCCCACTAAAGGTCGTAATATTGCACAAGAGTATATGCAGCAGTGTCACTAACGTACAGAAAGCGTCCATATTGATAATTCTCGTTGATACAGCCTTCACTCATGAAATATTCAATAAAATGTTCACTTTTTTCTGAGAAAACTTTTTTGATGTCCTTCCAAACATGCTGTGGAAGGCGATTTTTGAAGAAATTCGACCACTCTGGGAGATCTTCTTCTGAGTAATCTAGATCCTCGTCTTCAGCAGCGTTTAAATAAATATTACAATCAGCATCAAGATCATGACCTATCCAACCCATGCGGTCTAACACCCATTCGGGCTCTAGAATTCTCAAAATCTCTGCCATAAAGGAATGCTTGGAATGGTAGCGTGCGTGTACCATAACCCCTACGAAATCCGCGATGTCACGGCCGTCATCGTTCTCTCCAAAGTGCTCCCAGAGTTCCTGACTGGCCTTTCGTATTTCCTTGTCGTCAGTATTTTTCCCTTTGGTTGTAAATTCGTAGCAAGGGTTCAGTCTTAAATACATCTGAGTACTTGAAATACCTCCCTTGTCTAAATGCTCGGCTTTCCGCAGTAAGTGCTCGTACTCCCAAAGGTTCTCTATGCAAATGGGGTACCATCTTTCCCTTCCGATGAGATCACATAACCTTGAGTTCCATATATTGAGCACAGTTTTGAAAGAACCCTTTGAGGCTTCGGATTCGCTGGATTCAAGTTCGACTCCAAGTTCTTTCAAGTTCCATCTTTGAATGAATCTGTTCCACACCACGTCGGTCTGAATCAAGCTCTTCCAGTGCTTGCAAACAAACCTTGCTTTTAAAAGCTCTTCTAAAGATAAACAACTGAATATATCTAAGAGTACAACATCRGGCAAACGGCTTCCCTCCATCTTGAAAGATCGCGTGACACWTGCATSCTATGTAGCCTGGYCAGCACAGGTAGCCCAAAAGTTGAAAGAAGAGATGAGCAAAGAACTTCAGAAAGAATAGAGAATAAAAGTCAATGGGAGAAAGTGAAACATAATGAAAAAGGTTCATGTGAAAAGAAACAACTAAGGGAATGAAAGAGAAATTGTGTAAGAAAATGAAATAGAATTAATTGAAAATGCAAAAAAAACACATTTATATAGATATACCTCGTATTTTAAAACAAATAATCATACCTCATATATTATATATTATATATATACTATCAATTATACTATAAAAAACTAGATAATACATGGTAATTTAAACAGTTAAAAATATTTAGCCAATTTATCTGATTATAAATGATYATGACTCTTTTCAATACAAGTTCACACTATAAAAATCTATGTAGATTTTAGTTCATTCTCCTTGCGGTTCTTTCTTCTTATTTGAATTATGTTTTATGGATAAATGTTAGGAGTTGTCTAGAGTGGTTATGCGCTGAAGAGGAGAAGCTGCTTTTATCAGCCACAAGCTGTTCTGTAGTTGACTGACAGGCTCCGCTGACTGTCTAGCATCCAGGATATCAGCTGAAGAGAAGCTGATGCTTTCATCAGCCACATGTTCTGCCGTCAGGTGACAGGCCGACTGTGCACCAAGTGTGATAGGGCCAGAACAATCCCTTTTATGATGGCGACGGGAGTTTCTTCTAGAGGTCATGCATAAAAATGCTGTCGATAATACGCTGCAGTGTCACTGATGTACAGAAAGTATCCATATTTACAATGTGTATTGACACAGCCTTCATTCATTAGGCATTTAATGAAATTCTTACTTTTGTCTGCGAAAATTTGTCTGAGAATTTTCCAAGCATTCAAAGGAAATCGTTTCTTRATCAAATGCGACCAAYTTGGCGGATTGTCTTCATCCCAGTACTCTATTTCATCACTCTCTGTTTCATCATYATCTGGAGGTTYTATATTGCCATCGTCRTCAAGATAGTAAGAGCTATAAGACACTTGCTCCAACAWCCATTCTGGCTCTAAATCTTCTAAAATATTTTCCATGAAARACTKTTTAGACAGAAACCGTGCTTGGTTCATTGCGTCTTCGGMGTTTCCGATDTCAGGTGGRATCCCTGTGYTACAGTTATCATAATACTCCCCAAATAAATCCCACAGTATATCAAAAACCTTCTGGATTTCTTCCTCTCCAGTAGTTCTTCCTTTAGTTGTCAATTCGTAGAAAGGGTTCAGTCTCAAATACATCACAATAGTTGAAGTTCCTCCCTGGCTCTCTTCTTCGGCTTCCCGTAAGCCATTTTCGTACTCCCAAAGAGCAGGCAATTCAAATGGGTACCATCTTTCCCTTCCGACGCGACTGCATGCTCTTGAATTCCAGACACTGAGTACAGTTTTGAAAGAACCCTTTGAGGCTTCGGATTCGCTCGATTCAAGTTCGACTCCAAGTTCTTTCAAGTTCCATCTTTGAATGAATCTGTTCCACACTGCATCGGTTTGAATCAAGCTCTTCCAGTGCTTACAAACAAACCTTGCTTTTAAAAGCTCTTCTAAAGATAAACAACTGAATATTTCTAAGAGTACAACGTCGGGGAAGCATTTCTCCATCTTGAACGATCGCGTGACCTCGCGTGACGGTATCTGGTTGTGTTAGAAACCATGTAGCCTAGCCAGCACAGGTAGCCCAGTTCTTTATTTCTACTGCCAGCGCAGCAGCAAAGAAAAATCAACTGGTGAAAGGAATAGGAAAAGGACAAAAAAAAAAAAAAAAGGCAAGAGTGTACATTAACCACACTATCTTTTATCTTAGAAATGAATTGCTCTAATTCCAGGGAGAAGTCTATTGAGCGGTACTCTGAGTTACCGCTATTTTGACTGACAGCACTAAAGAGCCCTACTTCTAAAGGTCATAATATTGCACAAGATAATAAACAGCAGTGTCACTAATGTACAGAAAGCGTCCATAATGCAAATTCTCGTCGATACAACCCTCACTCATATAATACTCAATAAAACGTTCACTATACTCTGCGAAAACTGTTTTGATATCTTGCCAATGACGCTCAGGAAGGCGCTTGCTGAGGTTATGCATATACTGTGGAGGGGGTAGTTCCTCGTCATAGCCTTCTGAATTTGGCTCTTGATTATCGTTGGCATTTATAATATTACAGTCCGCGTCAAGACTGTAAGGGTCCCATCCCAGTCCCTCTGAGAACCACTCGGGGTCTAAGGATCTCAATATATTTGTCATGATTGAATGTTTTGAGCGATAATGAGCGTTCTTCATAGAGTCTTCGTAGTTCTCGATATCGCCGCCTCCATTCTCATCATCGCCAAAGATGTACCACATCTCCTCACAAGCTTTTCGCATTTCTTCGTCTTCGGTATTATTCCCTTTTGTTGTAAATTCGTGGGAAGGATTTAGCCTTAAATACATATTAGTACTTGACTGACCTCCCTTCTCAGTTTGCTCCGCTTCCCGCAGTCTATATTCATACTCTTCCCAGAGTTTCGGAAAGGGAAGAGAGTACCATCTCTCCTTTCCGACGTATTTAATTGAGCTTGAGTTCCATACATTGAGCACAGTTTTGAAAGAACCCTTTGAGGCTTCGGATTCGCTGGATTCAAGTTCGACTCCAAGTTCTTTCAAGTTCCATCTTTGAATGAATCTGTTCCACACCACGTCGGTCTGAATCAAGCTCTTCCAGTGCTTGCAAACAAACCTTGCTTTTAAAAGCTCTTCTAAAGATAAACAACTGAATATTTCTAAGAGTACAACATCAGGCAAACGCCTTCCCTCCATCTTGAAATATCGCGTGACAATTGTATGCTATGTAGCCTGGCCAGCACAGGTAGCCCAAAAAAGTTGAAAGAAGAGATGAGCAAAGAACTTCAGAAAGCTGAATAGAGAATAAAAGTCAATGGGAGAAAGTGAAACGTAATGAAAAA